ACCTCCGGGTGGGGACGCCGCGTGTGGTCGCGTCCGGTGTCGTCCGTCCTCAGGCACAGCGGCACCAGGACGGGCTGGGGACGATGTTTAACGTCGCTCCTGAGACTCGTTCCCTTCTTTAATTGCTGCTTTGGGGCTGCTTCTTTGCTGGAGGAGCGCAGGGATCTCTCTAGTTCGCTTACATTCCCCCCAGCACGCTGGCCTGCTAGCTGCCCGTAAAATAAAATAAAAATAAAATGACATTCCCATTTAAGCTCGTTGTTCCACATGTGCCAGCACATCGTGTTATTTCTGCTCATGCTACCAGGCACTTCAGGGCCTTTCAGGCCTGGGCACGTTGGTCTCTTGGACCTGCTGCATTTTGGGCCTCGCTGCTCTGCTGCAGTGAGAAAGGAGCAGCGGAGCTGGGGGCGCAGGCGCCGTTGGAGCCCAATTCCCCCTTCTGAGCCCCCCATCCTACGGCTGCCCGAGTCCTCGCTGAGACCGTTCAGGGCTGTTGCTTCACAGCCCTTTTTCTTGTCTTGTTCTTTGCAGGCTGACACAAGTGAGATGGAGTCGCTACAACGCCCAATATCTAGAGCCAGAAGTAAACAGGGAATTGCTTCAGAAGTCCTGGGATGAGCTGTCCGAGGAGGAAAAGGCAGAACAGGAGCTTAAGGCTGTTCGACCCATAAAAGCTGCTCCTTCCAATGTCACCAGTTCTGTATTCAGCGACCCTATGATCAGGTCAGCAAAAGCACCGTCTCCTCCATTACCATGAGGTCCCACAGGGCCAAAACACATGGGAATTTTGCTGTCCTCCTCAGCCTATGTTTGCTGTGCTGCATGTTGCCTTCTCCTACAGATGTTCCCTTTATTTGTGCTAATCTCCTCCTGCAAAGCCACCATTGACCAGCAGCAGTTAATTACAGCCACCCACACATAGCAGCACCCAGATTTAACCATGGGAACAACACAACGGGGGGAGTCTTATTTCCTTGGGTGATGAAATCAGTTTCAATCAGATCATGTTTGCCTTTTGTGTTGACAGTAAATTCACCAACATGATGATGAGGGACGGAAATAAAGTGCTGGCCAGAAGCCTTATGGCACAGGTGAGAAGTCATGTTTCTTTTCAGAATTATGTCTAAACAATGCAAAAAGGAAAGCTGGGCAGTCAAGCCCGCAGGAATTAGGATGTGCCAGAATGCAGGTCATCTCCTTTCAGCTGTTTTCGTGCCCTATCTTCTGTGTACTTTTCCAGTGAAGCCAGAGTCCCATAAACACGTCACCTATATGCCAGAATTTTGGCCCCCTACTCTGACTTGCAGTGAGTGGCATTGGCTGATGGACCCCTCTGGCATGCTCTCCAGCCCTTGGAATGGGGACATGCGTTCTCAAAAAGGTTCCCCAAATAACTGATTATTCATGCCAGAAAAACACCAAGGGCTTTGGAGTCCTGAGGCTTTGGAGGGAGGGTGCACATGGACTTGTATTCCCCTCTGTGCTCTCCTTGCCCTCTCCTGGCTCAGATCTGTGCTGCTTGGCCTTAAATAAAGAGACAAGAGCTGAAAGAGGGTGAAGTAAAATGTGTTGAGTACAAGAATCAGGCCCTGACTGGTCTGATGTCAGCAAAGCTAGAAAAGCAGCTGCATTTCTCAGATGAAAGTGAGATGTCTGTAAATATGATGTGCCTTCATGGAAGGAGATAATCTGTGTTCTCTGCATTTCTCCCTGGTGTTTGTCCCCAGACCCTAGAGGCCATTAAAAGGAAGCAGTTGGAGAAGTACCACCAGGCTCCAGAGCACGAGAAGGACAAGATTGAATGCAACCCGTATGTCATTTTCCACGAGGCTTTGAAAAACTGTCAGCCTGTCATAGGGCTCTGCAGCATCACAAGAGGAGGCAAAACCTACCAGGTAAAAGGAAAGGGGCTGGAAGCACATCTGCTCAGGAGAAAACTAACAAGGGAAACAAAAACACTAGTTCTCAATCCTTTTTCTGGGATTTTTCTTCTCCTAGAAATAGAGCCACTTTGTAATCTGGAAACCCTGTCCCAGAGCAGGACCCCAGTCTGTGAGTCTGGTAGCTCCTGTATCAGCAGCAGTCCCTGCTTGTCTGAATAGATACCAGGGGGGCTCGCAGCAAACACTGTCCAAGGAGAAAGAGGTCAGTGACAGGCAGCAAAATAATAGAGCAGTCCCTGGACTGCCAGTCCTGTTCCCTCTGCAAGGGGTAGAGGCCCCTGGGGCAGGTCAGGGTAGCAGGAGGGGTCGGCTGCGTCCCGTGCACTACTCAGTTCCGCGGTTAGCCGGGAATCCTCCCAGAGGCCTCTGCAGACAGGACTGGAGACCGCTCAGGACTCCCCTTGGGCAGCAGCTGGTTGTGCGTGTGGGTGAGGTGACCCAGCCTGAATCAGCTGCTGGTTTTACTGCAGCTGGCATTGCTGGGGGGGTCAGTGGTTGCCAGCGGCATCAGAGAGGGTGTAAAAGCACCTGTGTCCAGCAGGACGCTGCAGCCACCGGCCAACAGGCCGGCGCATCCTCCGCAGGCGCTTACGGGGGCCTCTCTTGCAGGTGCCCGTCCCCCTGACGGACAACAGGAAGCGCTTCCTGGCCATGAAGTGGCTGATCACGGAGTGCAGGGAGAACAAGCACCGCCGCACGCTCATGCCCGAGAAGCTCTCGCAGGAGCTGCTCCAGGCCTTCCACAACGAAGGGGCCATCATCAAGAAGAAGCACGTGCTGCACAAGATGGCCGAGTCCAACCGGGCGTACGCCCATTTCCGCTGGTGGTAGGGACACCGCGCGGGGACGCGGGCGCTGCCCCCGCCACGGCTGCAGAGCAGAGCCCCGGCGCCGCTGCCGCGAAGAGGACGAGCAGGAAGGTCCCTCTGTGCCAGGGAAAACCTCTCTGATCGCACAGGGTCATTTCCCTCGTGCCTGTCTGGAAGGGGGAGTCTGGCACAGCCGCCCACCCCTGCGTGGTTGCTCTAGTTATTTTATAATCACCTCCCTGTGAGGACAAGCCTTAGATGTTGGGTTGTTCTTTTTTCTTCCTTTTTTTTTTTTTCCTCCCTCAGTGCAACACTGTATAAAATAGTATTTCCATTCCACTTACCTGCTTCCTCAGGACTTTCAAGTCACTCTGCTCCTGTGATCAGCAATGGTTTTTCCTTTTTGGCTGCTCAGCGAGGGAAGAGAAAAACTGGAGCTTCTTCCCCACCCAATAAACAGTCTTAGTATGATTGATTAAAAAAAAAAAGGCAATAAGAGCCCTTTTTAACTTTTAGGTCTGGTCATCAGCAACATTGCAGAGAGTTAATGGAGACATTAACAGGAAAAATAAAATTTGAGCTTCACACGAAATGCATCTTGATTCTAAACCTTTGTCTCTCTTTTGCTTGAATCTATCGCTGCTCTCTCCAGCCACCCACTTGGCTTAAAGCCCCTCTGCTGCCCTACACCAGAGGGGAAAATGACTAGTGCAGGAAGGGAACATTGCAGAAACCGAGCCCTGCAGCTGCAAGGTGCCAGGCAGGAGCAGCTTCTGAGCACTGCTCAGAGCAATCCTTGCTGTAGCTCAGCAGCTGCACAGAGAGAATGCAGGGCACGTGTTAGTGGAAAACATTTATTAGAAAAAAGAACTCTCAATAAACTATATAGCTTCCTTTCTTCCTCTCATTCTTGTAAGAAACATACCATCTTTGAAACTCCCTAACTTTTGCGAAAACATAGCAATTGTATAAAACTTACAAAACCTGTTTCTAGCTGCTTGTGCTGAGGGATGTGTCCTGCTGCAGCCTTGCCCCAGGGGAGCGTTGGTGGCCGGTGGTGGCTGCGTTGCAGGTTCAGCCAGCGCTGGAGACAGTCTGGAGAAGCAGCACTTGCCGAGCTGTTGGTGACCTGTCCGACCGCAGCGTTTTCCATGGCCTGTCCCATAGGAGCAGGTGCGACCTGGCTCGAGGACTGTGAAGTTTTCCCCTCTGCCTCCCTCAGCTCTGCTGGATAAACCAGAGGGCTCTCACCGTGAACAGTGCCTTCCTTAACGCTCGTGTAAAACGTTGCTTTGAACTAGAAGCCTTCCTTGCCCTTCGCTGGCACCGGTCCGTAATGAGACCAAACCAGGGGAAGAGCTGGGTTAGATGCGCCTGTTCTTCCCACCTCACAAACCTCTAAGGTCAGCCTAGCACCAGGTACAGCCCGGCAGCTACGTGCACGGGGGCTCTAGCCAGTGTAAATCCTATTTACAGGAAGTGCTAGAAAAACATTAATATGAAAAGAAATCCAAACTTGGTTCGGCGCTTGCTGGTGAAAGTGCTGGGGACATCTTGCCACCTCTGCCGCAGGGGGGCTAATCTGTCACCTCGCTGTAATAGTATTTCTGGGCAGCGTCTGTCATCTTCCAGTCAGCCGCCCGAAACTCGATGATCTCCAGCAGCAGGAGCTGGGACAGGGAGCTGAGCCCCTCCTGCAGCAGGAAGCCGTCGCGGAGGAGGGAGAAGAGCTCGTCCATGCGCTGCGAGTTCATCTTCTCCAGCTGCTCGCCGATGCGATGCAGCTGCAGCACCAAGCAGTCCACCTTCAGGGGGAAGGGGAAAAGCCACCTGAGCGCAAGGGGACGAGGGGCTTTCACACATCACCATCAAGAGCTCCCTCGGTCTTTTACGGATGAGCCTTTGGCAGGGCTGTCCCCATGGCAGGAGCTGAACCTCCTGGTTTCCAGGAATGGCTGCATCTGGCTGTAGGGCCCTGCAGCAGCTCTGGCTTCAGCAGGGGCAACCAGGGGTAGCCCCTCCATCCCCTCCTCGACAGGCTGTGAACCCTCCTGGGCTGCACAGCTCCTGCTTCCAGCGCTCCCTCCAAGCCCTCCTCAGGGCCACGCGTTTTGCGGGTCCCTGTCCCCACAGCAGCCGCGTTGTCACCCTCTGCCCCGCGCTCACCTCCTCCTCCTTGCACAGGCTGTCGGGCTGCGCCAGGCGGAAGAGACAGTCGTAAACCGGGTTGACCAGCGCCATCATGGGCATGTTGTTCACCTGCGGAGAGGCAGGAGCCGCGGTCAGAGCTCAGGGCCCCCAGGGGCTTCAGAGGGCCTTTCCCGTGCAGCTCCCCTTACCCGCAGGG